ATTTATATATACGTTTCATGATCATAAATTAATTGCACACATTCACGGTAAATAAATTAACAATAGACAACAGTATAACATCAAATATAGGTATCGCATAACAATTAACAATAACTGACAGCACGCGAGTACACGACTACAGCAGTCAGATTAATAAAATAACAAATCAATAATCATAGCTGTGTACATATTATTATCCTAGTTATGTTAGTCGACAATATTTTTATAAATAACTATGGTCGATGGGATACGATAATATTATTTATAAATAATAACATTATAATAATATTATAATATAAACGCGAAGCCGACGCGATGGAAATCACTCGTTTAAAAATAAATTATGAAACTATTGAAACGTTTGAAGCTACAAAACAATAAATAATAATTATTAATAACACAGAAATAAAATTACGAAAACTAAAATTATATTTCTATTATAAAATATTTAAACTTAGGAGATATATCCATAAGCTATATAAGAATAATATTGTGTAAGTTACTTTCATAAGTAAATGTCATACCTTCATCATTATTATATATTTATATGTTATACAGATATTATAGACGTATAGTAGGTTTTGTAAATTAATACATAATACATTTTTTTTATGCAATATTTGTATGATTGCTGAATCCAACAGTGGGGCACCGGGGCCCCCACAGGCTGTAGGGTCGGGCAAKCGGGGTCCTCGTGGTCTTGTCCTAAATAAAGATAAAACCTAACTTAACTTGCAGTAGCGCWATTAATCCAAAAAAACCTCCTCTAACTTAGCTTAACCTAACCTATGGAAAAGCATATGACTATTGAATGAATTTTCAATTTCCCGGGCCCCTAAAGAAAAATTGCTCCTATAACAGCTGAATATTTCGATAAATACATTACGGGGGAGGGGGGTCCCTATTCCCTATAAACCCAATAAGAACAAAATTGACTATAAAAAAAAAAAAAAAAAACGGAGGGGCCCCGGCCGCATTCGCGGCCCAGCGGCCATGGCCAGGCCGACACTGACTTTACCCAATACATTTACAAAAAAAATGTAAGTTTAATAAATGCTCAAACATATTTAAATTTTGAAGAAAGTACGTATAATGTATCCAATAAGTTCATGAACTTGGGAATTTCATAACAAATTTTCTAAAGTATTCCATTGACCCCCTTAGAAACATTTAGGTTTTCTAGATGGGCGAATGTAAGTTCCTACACGAGACCTAGCAGGTAAACAA